CTGAGCCTGTGCAAGAGGAGGGCATGGAGATTATGTGACAGCTACATGCCCCTCAGGTAAACAGGGTAGCCTGTTTACATTGTAAGGGAGGGAAAGAAACTGCTTGACGCCATTCCTCCCTTTGCTCTGGCTGCATTGCTGTTCGGCTGCCATTCCCCCTTTTGCTCTTGTTGCTTTGCTATCTTCTGCCTTGGAGCCAGCCAAGTATGGACTGAAACCTCCACAAACCGTAAGCTAAATAAACATTTCCTTCCTTCATTTTGGGCGTTGGATATTTTGTCTCAACAGTGAAAGAGAAGTAACTAAGACAGTGGCACATGCCAGTGATCTGAGGGTTTGGGAGGCTGAAGCAGGAGGATACATGGTTGGGCCAGCCTGGACTACATTGTGAGAGTTTGTCTCAAAAAACCAAAACCAACCAAACAAAAAATAATATTCAAATACAAAATACAAAATTAAGTAAAAAATTATTTTAAAAGGAAAACACAGTGAATTCTAATTTTTTACAAATGATGAACATTACAAATCTGCCTCACAAGTAGTTTTTATGAAGTGCCTTAAAATATAAGTAATTATAATATTATTTTTTTATATAACCCTATATATTTCCTATTTTTTTGGATGTTTATTTTTTATAGCAATTTCAACAGAGAGACTAGAAAGGAAAGTCAGTCTTTTCTCGAGCACAGTTGAATTAAATTTATTTTTGGGGCTGGGGATATAGTTTAGTGGTAGAGGAAGAGTTGGCATAGCGTGCGTGAGGTCCTGGGACCTTGGGTTCAATCCCCACCACGGGGAGGGGGCAAATTTAGGTTAGTTTCTGTTCTTTACCTATGTGTTGGGGGGTGGGTACTGGGGATTAAACACACCCCTAGCCCTGTTTTGTTTTGTTTCCTTGAAACAGGGTCTCACTGTGTAGTTCAGGCTGGCCTTGAACCTGAAGTGATCTTCCTGCTTCAGCCTCCCTAGTGCTGGGATTACAGGTATGCACTACCATGCCCAGTGCCCCAGCTCTTTTAAAATTATTTTTGTTTTGAGACTGGGTATCCCTAAGTCACTAAGATGCCCAGGCTGGCCAATTTGTGGTCTTCCTGCTTCAGCCTCCCATTGTGCTGGGATTCAAGGCATGCACCATCATGCCCAGCCTTCTTTACAATGTGTTGTCACAATTCGTTGATGCTAACGCTGTCTGAATTTGGGGGGAGGCCCTTGTCTCCGTTATCTATTTCTACACAGCACACTAGCCCAGAATTTAGAAGCTTAATGCAATAAGCATTTTCTATATGTAACAATTTGGTAGGTCAAGGATTTGAGAGGGGCAGGGCGGGCCAACCCTTCATGTTGTCCACAAGAGTCACCGGCAGTGCTCGGGTCACGTCCGGGCTGGTCTGGAAGGTCCTGCCTCACCACGCTGCGAATCCTCTGGGCTGTCCTCCCTCCCCGTGCTGCCTCAGGACTCCTCAAGGTCTCACCAGCGCGGTGAGACCTTTGGGGTCCTGCAGAGTGGCTCACCGCTCCAGAGGCAGGCGGCATTGCCCTGGCATCGGCAGTGTCTCCACGCGGCAGAGCGCCGGTTCGAGGGGGAGGAATCGACCAGACTCTGGCCGGAAGTGGAAGAAACACATTGTGGCACCTTTATTACTACACAGTGATGCTATTCCACTTCTCCGCTAGTACCTAGCGAACATCTCTTTAGTTCCTGCACATTGCCGGGGCTCAGCGAGCATTGCTCACTCCACGCTCCTCGTTTTGCGGCAGGGCCATGGAGGGTGGGTGGAAAGCCAGGCCAAGGTACTGGGCGGCTGGAAACACAAGCCGGCCTCCTCGCGCTTCTCTGGAGCCTCAGCGGGGAGGGCGCGCTGCCCCACATCACCCGGCTGAGGCCCTCCTGCCCTGGCAGTCTCCGGGTGTCTGGATGCTTGGGTTGGGGTCTTGCTCTCCTAGAGTGTGTGTTCCAAGAAACTCCAGGACTCCTTCTGACTCAGCTGCAGAAGCCACCCAGCTCCTGCTACCACATTTTTCTGGTCGACACCAAATAATACAGCCAGTGTAGATTTATGGGGAGGAGACTGCGTGACTTAGTCACTTACCTCATTGCGCCGACACAATACCGAACACCTGCAGCTTAAAGGAGAGGTTTACTTTGGCTCACTTTTCAGTCCTTAGTCAGCTGGCTCCAGAGCAGGACAGCATGGCAGATGGGAAGCAGAGAATGAGTCAGGGAGGGGTGGGGAGAGCGATAAGCCCGCCCAGGCCCTGCTGCCCATGACCCACTGCTTCCTCCGGGCTCACCTCCAAACAGCAAGTCAGCTGTAGGCCGCCACAATCCAGTCCACTCCCAAAGCCCCCCTGTAAGCACTCAAGTCTCTCAAGGACCTGTAGATATAAACCGTAACGCCCTACCAGGACAGTCACACAGGAGGCATTGGAGCCATCTCTGAGACTAAACGCCACTCCCTAACAGAGTTCTTTATGATCGGTGGCATTGCACCTTCATGTTTCACGGGATGAGTGGACACAGTGACAAATGAGTGGCCCAGAGAGCCATTCATTCGTGGGACCAACCGTGTTGTACCTAGATAGGGAAGTGACTGCAGGCTGCAAAACTACGTCACACACCCAGCTGACTCTACCCCCAACTCAGTGTGCCTCCTAATTAAATATGCCCACAGGGTCAACAAAGCCACCTGGCAGGAAGAGAAACCTCCTATGACACAGAGGAGTCCAAAGCAGACAGCAGATTTAACTAACAGGGATTAAATTATCGCAGGTTCACAAATTTTCCAAAACCCTGAATTATGTAAATACATTATTAGACTTCCTCCCAAGGCTTTTAAAAGCCTCCATCACACCTCCCTTTCAACTTATTCTTCCTGTTGACATTTAAGCATTCTTTGATCAAATTGCAACGAATTGGCTTTAATTTCCTGGTATTCTTCTCAAACTACACCTTCTGCCAGTCATGCAGGTACACACCTGTAGTCGCAGCACTCAGGACACTGAGGCAGGAGGATCGCCACAAGTTCAAGGCCAGCCTGGGCTGCATAGTGAGTTCAAGGCCAGCCTGAACAAATAACGAGCCCCTGTCTCAAAAAAAAAAGCTAAGAAAAGAAAAAAAACTAGCCCTTCCTAACTCCTAGGTCTGCATTAGGCATCGTATTAGTCAGACAGAATAGGCTATGCAGTAATGAAACTTTTGACACAGAAGTTTCATGGTTATAATAGTGCAAACATTTATTCACACACATGCAAAATTGATAGAATAACTGTCCTCCCTGTGGTGACCCAGCCACGCATGCAGCTTCGGTGTTATTACACCAGGGGGAGCGAGGTGGGAGAGCACACACAGGTCCTTAAATCTCCACCCCAAAGCCATCCCCTGTGGGTTGGTTCTGAAATGTACTGGAAAGGCTCACGGGAGCAGAGTCAGGGCTTCTGGAAGGTGATTGGATCATGAGGATTCCAGCGTCATCAGCAGTTTAATCCCCGGATGGATTCCTAACAACGTCATTATGGAGGCTGTGGAAAGTGGGAGATGGCGCCCAGCTGAAGGAGTGGGTTGTGGGGGTGTTGGCTCTGGGACTACCTCTCACCCTGCCCCTTGCTCTGGCTGCCTTGCTCTCCGTGCTTCCTTCCACCATGAGATGAGCAGCTCTGCTCCACCGCAGGCCCCCTGCTATGCTGCTCTCCTCTTCATGGCCAAAAGCAACAGAGCCAAGTATCCATGGACTGAAATCTCTGAAATCATGAACCAAAATATATCTTTCCTCCTTTACATTTTTGCTTTAGTTATTTTTGTCACAGTGTCAGAATCTACCACGTGATCCATGAGGTGCTGGAGGTGTAGCTCAGTGGAAGAGCACTTGCCTTTCTTGTGTAAAGCCTGGGTTCATCCCTAGTGCCACAAGAAAAATAATGTGATCCGTGCAACTTCTGCTCACTGTCCTTCAGCCAGAGTGAAGCAAATGGCTGGTACAGCTGGTGATCACCACTAACCTGGTAACACTGTCCATCTAAGCTTCTCTTATCACACCTACTACTGGTACTAACTCTACTGGTATCTTTATCACACTTGCTACCCAGGTCCCTTCAACTTGCCTCTACCTTTTATGAATACATAGTAAGTTCTGCAAGAAAAGAAGCACATTTGTAGCACTAAACATTTTGTTCTGTCCTAGTACCCAGAAAATTTATGAGTACATAAATAAAACATTTAAACTGTCAAATGTCTATTAAGAGGCTCAACCCCCAGCTTTGCATAATCACCTGAATAAATTAAGAAAGTCATTTGCACACATTTCTTTGCTTGTTTTTATTACACTTCTATGAGTTCATTATGATTTCTTATGTTCTTACCTCCATTTCAGAGATCATAAAATTGATCATTAAGCCCTGCACATTCCAAGAGAAGGCCTGTCTTCAGGACGCACTTGGCCAGTGCCCAGGAAATAGTTCCTGAGCCCTTGGCATACCCTGCCTGGATACCATGAGTGGTTTTGCATAACTGAGGCCTTGGACCATGCTGTATTTGTGGTGCATGCCTATTTGTGCTTGTGGAGCTGGGGAGTAGGGACTGGAGCCTGGGCAGCTGTGATCTGGCACTGCCAGGCCACGTGACTGAGCTCTAGTAAAACCCCTGATATCAAGGGTAGCAAGGGCTTTTATAGTTCACAGCATTTCCCATGAGGTGTCACACATTACCGCTGGAGAATTAAGCAAATCCCATGGGAGTACAGTGGGAGGGAACACCCAGAAACTTGTACCTGGATACTCCTATGTCTTTTTTCTGTATCCTTCCCCTGTAAATAAAGTGTCACCAGGCATCCAGCTGCTTTTCTGAGTCCTGTGAATCCTTCCAGTAAATCAGCAAGCTTGAGGGTGACATGGGGACCCCTAGCACAATCTCTAGTATGACAAGCCTTGTTCCATTCCAAGGTTCGTTTGTTGTAACCTTGGGCTTTCAGTTAGAAAATAAACGCTTTTTGTAATTGACTTTTATCTCCAGTGCTGGGGATTGAACCCAGGGCCTCACACATGCTAATCATACATTCTACCACTAAGCTATATGACCAACTTTTGAATTTCTTTATAATGAAACATTTCCATGCTTCTTCCCAGAGATCCATGGTGTTAGATTTGGAGTTTGTTAAAAGAACTCACTAAGTAGAACAAAGAAGTGTTTTAAATTATTCTCGTGTTTCTTGGCAAGCGTGAAATAAATATTAAGCTCTGATCCATTATCTCAAGGCAAATGCAGTAAATTGGTTTATGCTATTAAAAGTAAGGCTGATAATGGTCTTTTCAGAAAATCGTAGGAAACATGGCTAAATTTTAGCAGAGAAATCTATTGTGTTTATTCAGAGAAACAGTTTTGATCTGCTGCATGATGCAAATCTGATTTGAGAGTCAATAAATCTTTCCCTTAGCCATGGATTAGACTGCATAAATCCAGCCTCAACTTGCTCATCTATAATCTGCAATGACAACCTCTTTTCTAACACATCATTAAGTGAAAGTCAGGAAGTAAAGGAGTACAGCATATGAAAAAAGTCAGGAAACATGAAAGTCGTATGTGAATACAAAGCATTATTATAAATTCCCAATTTAATGGCAAAAAGTGATATTTTCTATCTAGCTTATTTGTGCTCTTAAGAATACTGCTCTTAGGTGGACCTTTGTATAGTAATTACTGGAAAATAAACATGAGTCTCATATATAACAAGCTAGCAGTTTTACTATAATCAGCCTAGGCTAGGTTATGATGTCATATTGTTAACCCCCAAACCCCATAGAGGAATGAAGCCAAAATTTCTTATTTATGCTGTTCCAGCAGGGATGGCAGAGCCTTCTGTACCATATTATCACGTGGTTCATCAGGTCGATGGAGACTTGACCATCTAGTGATGTGCCTTTCTCAGTATAAGATTCCTAAGGTCACTGGGCATGATGGTACATGCCTGTAACCCTACACTGTGGGAGGCTGAAGCAAGAGGATCATAAATTCAAGTCCTGCCTGGGAAACTTAGCGATTTCCAAGACTATCTCAAAATAACATATTAAAAAACTGCTGGGGATATAGCTCAGTGTGCTGCCCCTGGATTAAATCTCCAATAGTGTACTAAAGGAAAAGAAAGAGTGAAAAGAGAAGAGAAGGAAAGGGAAGGGAAGGGAAGGGAAGGAAAGGGAAGAGAAAGGAAGAGGAAAGGAGAGGAGAAGAGAGGAGAGGAGAGGAGAGGAGAGGAGAGGAGAGGAGAGGAGAGGAGGTTGCAGGCCATTATACACAGGAAGTAATATGGAAAATTTGTACTGACCTTAAATGTTTCAGTCTCCCTTCACAGCTCATTTTTCTAGAGTAGCTGCTGCAGCTTGGTCTTCCTGTGAAGTTGGTATGTCACAGGCTAATGAATCATCACTGGTATGTTCATAACAGAATAAGAGACAAGCAAAACAAGCACAAACTGAGCCTTCCCTTGAACCTAACAGAACTAACTTCTGTGTGCCACAGTATGCTCTGTGCTACATGGTTTTATGTAGCTCTCCTGGTGACTTGTGTTGTACATCGTGGGTTGGGTGCTTGCTTTGTATCTGTTAACTTCCACCACCACCTTACTGAAAAACAAAACAAAGCAAAATACCATTTTGCAAAAGCAGCACTTGCAACTCAGAAGAAGCTCATCCTATTCACAAGGATGCCTTTGTGGCCCAAGTGACAGGCTTTGATTCAGAGGGAAGGATGTAAATTAAGTGGCTGCATCAGGGTGAGCCTTACCAGCCTTGCTTGAAGTTTTGGGGCAAAGGTTTCCCCTCAGGGGAGGCAGAAAAAGGTAGGGAACATGGGACCCATAGCAAAGCAGCCTCAGAATGATGTCACACAAGGGCAGCACAGCCCGTGGAATGAGGGGGAAACAGAATCCAAACTACTTGATTGAGCCAGTCATGAAACCCTGTCTCTCCTCTAGATTTGCAGGATAGTAGCTGTTCTCTCATGTGCAGCCAAAGACAGTTTGTCAGAATAAACCTGCCAATCTTGAAAATACCTGCTGATCTACAACACTTGCCATAGCTCACATTTCTTCAGGGAACTGACCTACAATCCCTGTCTTAAGTAGCAATACGCAAGAGTCACATGTATTACTTTTAAAAAGGACACCTATCAACTGCCTGGACCCAGTAGTAAATTTGGGCCCTTACACACAACATTTTACTTTTAGCTTTTATTTCCGTTTATTTGTTTTTTGAGACAAGATCTCATTACATTGCCCAGGCTGGCCTTGAACTCAGGATCCTTTTGTCTCTTCCTCCCTAGTAGCTGGGATAACAGGTGTACAACTCTGTGCCAGGCTTCAATATATTACTTTTATGTCATGGAACATAACAGGCCTTTATAAATAGCATGGCATCATTAGCAAATAAATGCAATTGCACAAGTCAATTTAACATTGACTTAAAATTATCATGAGCAAACCACAATTACACTAGGCAAAAATTAAAATTAGCTGAACATTATCTTTAAAATGTGGCTACTATATCATGGTATAAATTGTGGAGGAAATATAATTAAAAACAAAATCTCTGAAATATCCACAAAAGTAGTAGAGAAAGAAAACACTGTAATTATTGAATAAGCAATGAACCAGAATATAATGCACAACATAGGCAATCTGCTAAGAAATTGCATAGACAAAGAAATTTCATTCCCTTATGCAGCTTATTGTGGTTTGTGTCTGCATGTCCCCTCAATCCTCATGCAGTCATGGGGCAGCTTCCAGGATTATGGGCATGAGTACTACACCTGCCCTGGGGCAGGTAGTTTGCATATGTAAGGGAGAGAAAGAGGCTGCTTGCCACTGCTCCTCCATTTTGCTCTTGTTGCTTTTGCAGTCTTCCGCTGCCATGAACAGCTGCGCTCTGCCATGTGCCACTCTTCCTTGGAGCCAGCCAAGTATGAACTGAAACCTCCACAAACTGTAAGCTAAATAAACCTTTCCTTTCTTCATTTTGGGCATTGGGTATTTTGTCTCAGCAGCAAGAGAAAAGTAACCAAGACACAGCTGCATTGGTCTATTTTTTCATGCTATAAAAAATACCAGAGGCTGAATAATATATATAAAAGAGGTTAGAGGCTGGTGATGCAGCTCAGTGGCCACTGGGTTCAGTCTCCACCCAGTGCTAACGAAAGGAAAAGGAAAATAAATAAAAGAAAGAAGGGAGAGAGAGAGATTATATAGCTCGCAGTTTGGGCAGCCCTATCAGTTGGCCTGTGCTGAGGGTCTCACGCAGAAAACATCATGATGGTAGCTTGTACAAGTGATCACCTGGGGCCAGGTGTGATGATACACACCTCTAACCCCAGCACTTGGGAGGCTGAGGCAGGATTGCTGTGAGTTAGAGACCAGCCTGGGCTACTTAGTGAGTTCGAGGTCAGCCTGCACTACACAGTGAGACCTTGTCTCAAAAAAAAAGAGTGATCACATGGTGACATAGGAAACTAGAGAAAAAAATCAACAGTAAGGCTTGCTCCTCTTTACCACTCACCATCTCAGGAACAGAATCCCACAAGACCTATCTTAACCTGTCCCAAGGGTAGCACCCCGCATGTCCTAGCTGTGTCTCACCATTCTACCACTTCATCACCACCACAATGATGACCAAACACCCAACACACAAACCCTTGGGAAACAAACTACATTCAACCCATCATGTTAGCCAAGCTGCTATGGCTCATTACAGGTTTTCAAGATAAACTATAACTAGCCTTCAAGCAAGGAGGATTGACAGCGCCGTGTGTCATACACAGAGTGGGTAGAAGAGCATCTGTAAGAGCTAACTGGTTTTTCCTGGGAGGAAAAGCAAACATCTATCTGCATGAGAGGAGATATCTTGGCACGGCAGAAAAAGTGCCCACCCAGGGAGGCTCAGCAACAGGGGTAGAGGAGTGCTGGCTCCTGTGACATTTACATTTGAAAACAAATGGCTTCTGGGTCCTTGAAAGTGTCATTCCTAGATCATGCAGCTGACAGCATGCCAATTGAGTGTTTCAAAAGGATTTACTTACAGCTCAAGAACAGAAGGAAAGTATTTTCAGTTACAAGTGTTCTAAAGTAAATGCTCCAAGGAAAAAGACAAGAAGGAAATAGTCTCTTGTTTGCAATAGGGAGAATTAAACCTCTTTTCTGAAATTTGTGCTAGGCGTGGTGACACATGCGTTTAATTCCAGTATTTGGAATGCTGAGGCAGGAGGATTGCTATGAATTCAAGACCACCATGGGCTATGTAGTGAGTTCAAGGCCAGTTTGAACTATATAACAAGACTCTGTCTCAAAAAACAAATTAAAATAATTGTACTTAGGGGCCAGGGATATAGCTCAGTGGCACAAGCAACTGCCTGGCAAGCACAAGGTCCTGAGTTCAATTCCCAGTACAAAAAAACCCATAATGTATCAAAAATAATTGTATTTGTTGGAGCCAGATGTGGTGGTACATGCTTGTAATCCCAGCACTCAGGAAGCTGAGGCAGGAAGTTTGTGCGTTTAAGACCAGCCTGTACTAAACAGTGAGACCCTTTCTCAATAAACAAAACAAACAAATTTTCTTTTATCCTTATATGATACATATATTTTGATTTGACTTCAGATAACAAGAAAATAAAATAGGTAAAATTGCCTATGATATGCCTGGTAGGTACTCAGCAAGTCAAACGTTTTTTAATCCTTATTCTAAAATTAAAAATTCTGAGAATTATAAAATAATTTTAGCAAGTGTACCCCTGAGATTTATTTGGTAACAAAATTTGACCCAAAATGGCATGAGACATGCTTGTGATCCTAGCATCTGCAAGGCTGAGGCAGGATTATAAATTCAAATCTATGTATTAACTATTTTTATTCTCCTATGATTTTGTTACAAATTTTTGTTTTACATTTTTATAAAATAAAATTTTAAAAAAGGTATTAGTCTATAATAAATATTAATGATAATTAAAAATTCAAGGCTAGCCTGGGCAACTTAAAGATTTGATGAGCCCTTGTATTAAACTAAAAAATAAAAATAAAATAAAAGGCTGGGGATGTAACTCAGTGTAAAGGCCCTGAGAAACAACAACAAAACCAACAATAATAACAAAAATGAAGAAAGAAATGAGGCAAGTGGATGTGAATAACCCTACTACATCTTGCTGAAAATTATTAATCTGCTTGAATATACAGACAATACTAAGACTCTACTTAATTAACTTCAGCTATTGTTTTATATTGGATTTTGAAGGGGAAAAAAGCATTAAAATGTAGGGTGGAGAATAGAACATTACATTCAATATATATAAGTGATACTCTTTAAAATTTAATTCTATATTATACTCAGTTAACAGAGGTCAGAGAAGTAGAAAAAAAGAGAAAGTGGAGAGACTGAGACAAAGGGACAAATGCAAAAATGATGTATACATATGCGAGCAAGAACCATCCATTTCTGCTGAATACCAGGAATTTAGCACGTACCCTAACACAGTGTGGAGGTGAGGAAGTACTTATGGTGGTTTGGGAGGAAGGAGAGCTGGATAGGCAGAGCAAGTGGGAAAAGACAGTCAGAATAATCACCAAGAAAAAGAAACAGCATATTCTAAAGCTGGAGGGGAGCAAGAGGGTGGGCAGAGAATGTTGCCACGGACAGACGGAAGGAAGAGAGAAAGATGGGTCAGATACTGGGAGCCTTTGACTAACAGCTCCACAGAGGTGAGGGAGGCAACAGGATGCCTGCCTATTAATTTTGATCTTTGAAATGGTAACTCATCCATTCAAGACTTTCCCCCATGTTCTTCATAATTAAATTTTTAGAAGAGGCCTGTGAAAAGCCTGGCCACAAAGGCTCACCAAGAAGGCAATTATTCTTTTGGTTCAGCTGAC